AAAAATGCAGTTCCCTAGTTCTGGAGGTTTGTATGGAGCAGGGCTGGCACTAGGTACTGTGGATACAAAGGTGAGTACAATAGTTATGTTCTCCTTAGCTGCTCCTGGGGTATAGTGATAAGTAAATACATGATTAAATGTTTACACATTAAATGCTATTATGATATATATATATGAAATATAAATATAAATAAATGATAATAAATATAAGAAATAATATATGTTTGGTTCCTGGCACAGAATTCCTAAAACCTTTGAAATCTCTTGAGTGATGAATCTTTTGCATGCTAATGAGATGACAGTGGCTGGGCCCCTAGATAGCTTCACGTTGGGGGCTGCTTGCTAGAAAAACCAAGGCATGATTAAAGAATTGGAACTTTCAGCCCCAATCCCCAGCTTCTAAGGAGGGGAGAGGGACTGTTGATTAATTACTAATGGCCAATGATATAATCAATCATGCCTACTTAATGAAACCTCCATAGAAACCCCAAACAACTGGGCTCATAGAGCTTCCAAGTTGGTGAACACATCGGGGTACTGGGAGGGTGATGCACCTAGAGAGGGTGTGGAAGTTCTGCACACACTCCCCTCCGTCTCATACCTGCCCTAGGCATCTCTTCCATTGGGCAACTTCCATTGGGCAAACTCTTCTATTCTTGAGTTTGAATTCTTTATAACAAACTGGTAACAGTCAGTAAAGCACTTTCCTGAGTTCTGTGAGCCCTTCTAGTGAATTAATGAACCTGAGGAGGGGACCATGGGAACTCTTGATCTATAGCCAGTCAGTCAGAAGTACAGGTGGCAACCTGGGACTTAGGACTGGTGTCTGAAGTGGGGGCAGTCTTGTGAATCTTAGCCCTTAACCTCTGGAGTCTAACACTAACTCAGAGGAGTTAGTGTCAGAATTGACTTGACTTGTAGGATACTCAGTTTGTGTCTGGAGAACTGGAGAATTTGTTGGTATTAGAAAAAAGTGCAGCTCTGGGAACATACAGGAAGAGCCCTTAAAGCAAACCAAGATGGTTGGAGAAGGATTTCTGGAGGAGTTGATAGTCAAAGGAGGGAGAAGAGGGTTGTAAAGAAGTGATTCCAGGCAGATGGAAAATCACGTGTGAAGATCAGGAGGTGAGCTTCTCATTGTAAATATAAATTGTAAATTGAAATTCTAGGTTTCTTACCTCATTCTCTTATGAGTTGGATTAATGTGAGTCAGTCTTCTGGGGTCCAGTCACCTCTTGACACAGTGACAAAGTTGATTCTCTCAGCCTATGCATCAGGGGATGAGAGCAGGGAACACCATGGTCCCATCCAGGCAGGGCCACCAATCCGTGTGTCAAATGGATCTTCCCAGACAACACTTCTGCCTTTTTTTGCTTGACTATTTTAACTGCAACAAAAGTTTTTAAATATTTGTGGTTGGACCGTTTATTCACAGTGGGTAACCTGAAGATAGGCTCAAAAATGTTTTGAAACACGGTTTTCTTTTAAAAACTGACATCAATACTCTCCATGGTATCGGAAATGGCCTTTCAAGGGTCTATGGTGGTGGGACCACCCAAACAATGATGTTGGTTCTCCCCATATCTGCTGTTTCTTTTTGAACAGGCATTCCACGTCTGTGCTTATTCTTTTCCATTCACAATATCAACTCTTTAATTTACACCCTGGAAGTTATCTGCATAACAGCTGGATCTTGTCGCTTCAAGCCCTTCAAACACAGCTAGCAACTTGCCCTTACAGGAAAACCTCTGGGACTATGTAGCAGATACTCCAACACATTTAAAGCCACCAGGAATCAGTCATCTGCCTCTACCATGAAATCACTACATTTATGAATGTCTACTCAAATACACAGTCCTGGCATTTGCAATTAGTTTGCATTTGTTGTGTGTTTTTTGTTAGTTTGTTCGTGGTCTCCATTGACTTGTTCATTTTTTAATAATAGCACTTCCTGAGTTCCAAGTGCTTTATGTGGATTAATTCACTTAGTCCTCATAACAGCCCCATGAGGTGGATGCTATTATTGTCCCCAAAGGTCACACACAAGTAGGTGGTGGAGTCACTCACTCACCCACTTTTTCTGCTGCCTCTCTGCTCTGCAACACCAGGGTCATCCTTCCTAGAAACTATGTGTTTCTTCAGAGCGTTTCCCGTGTTCGGCAACAGAGGGGCCCTCAGGATGTGCTGGTTGCCTAATATATGTATATGTATAGGAGCTCTCCAAGAATGTTCCATTCCAGATCACTCCAACATGAGCTCATTGTGGGATGAACAATGGGCAGCCACTAAAACAGCTCTAAAGAAATGCAGTGTCAACACACCCACACGGAGAGCAATGCAAAGTCACTCAGCTCTTCTGAAATGACATGACAGAGAAAAGCCTTGTGGTCTTTCCCAACTCAAACTTCTGTTTTAAACATTTACTAGAAAAGTTTGCTGATAAGGCGGGAAAGTAACTGTTAGGTTTTTAAATGATGGTTTGCTTTTTGGAGCCCTTTCAAATTCTGATAGCACTTAAGAAACTACCTTATTTTATAAAGAAATAAGACCAGAGTTAATCTGGAGCTGGGAAGAGAAATAAAAAAGGCCATTGCCTCACCAGGCAATCCTTCCAAGCCATGGCCGAGGCTCATGAGCCGTGTGTCCTGTGCTTCCCTTCCACATCTTCAGCATTTATCGAAAATATATCTTCAAAGATGACTCAAAAGCTCTTTTGATGCTTTTATTGACAATTTGCGTACAATCTTAGGCATAGTTGTCAAGTATTTCTTTATTTTGTTGTCAAGTATTTATTTTATTTTTCAGAGAAAAATAAAGATTCTTCTGCAAAGACTTTATTTCTATTCTGATATATGCACATTTTGTTACATTGTTCAAGCTCAAACATGTTACAGTGATTTGTGATTCACATTCATTTATAGTGGCTATTTTTTCTTTAACTTGTTTTAAGAATCTGTATTCTATTCTCCAAAAAAGAAAATAAATAAAGACTGCCACCAGGAAAGGAGCAGAGACCTAGGGACTACTGCGGTGCCTGAACGCATGGCAGAAAACCTTGTTCAGGTATTGCACACCCAACAAACCATGCAAATTTCGAAAGGGCAATGATGGCAGCATTATTAAACCCAAAAGCTATGGAGGATATAAAATGCTGGTGCTCCACCTGACAGAGGGAGCCATCAGATTTGTCATGGTCAGCACAAGGAGCTGCTACTTAGTGGGATTGTCAGCAATGTACAGTCAGGCCCTGAGTGGGTTCTAGACTGAACACTGATGTCAGCCATTGGGATGTGTGGGCTAGTGCCTGCTGACACTCCTTTTCCTCATGCTCACAGACAGTGGCTCTCCATCGTCTCTATATGATCTTTAGGCTTCCTGACATGAGTCTGGGAGACTTGGGGCCACGTTGGGGAGGTTGAGTTTTCTGACAGTGTGAAGCCAGATGAGGCTGTTACTGATGTGGCTGCCACACCCCATCTTGACCCAGATGCAGAGCCTCTGAGGGAAGGACTGACTCGGGATGGATGGTTAGGGAAACAGATGTCCTTTGGGAATTTTCTGAGATCATTCCCTCTCTCCCCCAGCAAAGATTTCTGGTGCTCCATCTACAAAGAGAAGCCCTGCTACCGATTTCATAATTTCCAGGGTCCCTAAATCTATAAGGGACCCCATGTGGTAGTGATGGTCTAGTTATGGTCATGGTCTTCCAGAGAAGACAGACGATGAAAACAAAAGAGAGTGGTTATACTTTGTCATCTGCATACTGTGTTGCAGAAAATGAGGTTTGCTGCATTTAAGTGCAAATACATCCCTTTTTGGTGTGTTGCGAATGCCTCAAAAAAAAAGATGAAAACTTGATCAACACTCCAATTCAGTCCGTGTTAACAAGAGTAAACATGCCAGTGTGAATCTACCATCTTAGAGAAAAGGACTCTTCATGGAGTAATCCATTGGGTGGGCAGAGCCCCCTGGGGCTTGCAGATTGGGGGAACAGAGTGGGTATGCAGAAAGAGCATAAACTCTTCTGATAGAAAGTCAGGCACGGTTTCATTGGGATAGTCTTGGAAATGCTCCTTCTTTAAAGATTCTGCTTTAATAACCTGCACCTTTGTTAACATTGAGAATCACTATGAAATCATTCCTAAATATGTCTCCTTTATAGGCACCTTACCCATTAAATTTACAGTGAAGTCAAATGTATTAGCTTATTCTCCAAGCTGCAAAATGAATGTTTAAAATCAAATGATAGATTTTGTAATATTTTCAGAGAAACAATTTCTTTCTAAAGTTGCAAGTAATTAAAGGGGATGAAAGTACATTAAATTTTGATTTCTCCCTTGTAATTTAAACATTCAACATTCAAATTAACTTCCATAATTTCTCACTTAGTTGAGAAGCTGATTTATGCAGAGTTGATATTTCATCAATGGAATATATAAAGATAGAATTCTTGGGGATAAACCCATAGTTTTGACTACTGTCTGCGGTTCTTTGGGAATAGATGTTCTCTGAAAATTTAAATAAGAGCATTGCTCTTAAATATAGTGAATACAGTTCTGAGAATCCACTGCAGTCCATTTCACAGAGAACCACTGACAATAGGCCCTCAAAACTATTTCCCACCTCACCAGTGGCTTCTTCCCTATATTTGTTGACGGTAAAATCAGAAATTAACCCTGAGAAATCTCTCTCTATGTACTTATCCAGCCTGACTTGAATTCACTCAAGAATGACAACCCATACAAAAGATGGACTTGCACTTCGATCTGTCTCTGGTATTTGTGTATTCCTGGGAATACTGCTCACTGGTTTCACAGTTAGCTCTGCTGTTTTTCATGGGCACAGAAGGGATCCCAGGAGCTTCTTCTGTAACTTTGTGTTTGTGATTTTGGAAAGAACTTGAAGTGTGTGTGTGTGTGTGTGTGTGTGTGTGTGTGTGTGTAGAAAGCAAAAGTAGCAAATGACCGGAGGACACTTTGTTTCCATGCAGGATGGTGTCGCAGCTGCTCCGGCTACACGTCGAACCAGTGGTCCCCCATGCAGGCGCGGTTCCACTCGCAGCCACAGTTCCAGCACCACTCGAGCTGGCACTGGGGCTGCGGGCACTTCATATGCATGCATCCTCCTGAGGGCAGACAGAAGACACAGGTAAACTCCTGGAAAACACTCATTCCCACACCAACACGCCGATCTAGAAATGACTTTTTAAAGGAATCACCACAAGCAACCCAAGGGCAGAATCTGAACTGAGGAAAACAAATCAGAAAGCAGGAAGTTCTAACGTTAGGACACTCATTAAGAAATGAATGAAGCTGGAGCACGCCACGCTCATAGGGGACAAATTTTATTTGTAAATCTGAGTTTATTTACTTTTCCTGAAATGGGATTTGGAGACAAATGCTTCATGTTTCACAGACAGGGGTTAATTTATTATGTAACTATATTAAATTTAATATTTAAAATATATATTAATATACTTAATGATTTAATATATCAGATATAATAATGTAAGTATACATTATGAGTAATTTTTATCATTTCTTTAGTGTTACTTGGCTTGGCAAAATTCATAAAAGAGGAGTTGGGACAGCAGTCTTAAAAGTATTTAATAGCGAATACGTTCCTTAAGGCTATTCACAATTTCATTTAAGATGAGAAGGATAGAAAGAAACCAATAAATAATGCTAGAGACTTTATGTATGTTTTCATTTACTCCTCAAAAGCACTTTGTGAGATAAGAGTGTTACTCGGGTGTAGATTTTTCTCAAGGTCAAGTATTTTAAATGATGAAGCTGAGATTTAACTAAGATCTGTGCGATTCTAATGCTCCTTCTTTTGCAGAACAGGGCCTGTCCAGCATGAGATGACAAGTCCCCTATCTGGGGACTTATTTGGGGGTTCCTCACCTCCTCCCGTTGTTAAACATATTCTTTATTCGCTTCTGGGGCTCAGATACCAAGTCTGCTGTGAGGCGAAGAGGGAGTTGTTGGTATGAAGTGATACGTAGGGAACTGTTTCTGACCGAATTTGCCAGGTAATCCAGGCAAAAGCAATTTCTTTACTTAACTCCTGTATCATGTTGAATGTGCTCCATTATTCAGTTTTACCAATTATCTTGTTAAGTCATTTTTTCTTGCCAAATTTTCCAAGTAATTGCTTCAGTACTGTCTCATTTTTATCATTAGAAACGTGGCATGAGAATTTCCACTAATTTAAAATATTTATGAATATGTAACTAAAAGCATTTGTTTTAGGATAATTTAAGGGCATTTAACATCCCATACTTTTCTACTTCTCTTTGGTTTGTTTCAAAAATCATTAAAAAAATTACGAATATGTGGAAAATAAAGGGAAAAACTCACTTCTGACACTCAGTATTTCCCGTTTAGGAGGACATAATTACAGGATTGTGTAATTTTCAACACATATTTAATGACTACACACTTATGATGCAAACAAAAAAATAATGTAATACTGCATAATCACTTAAGTTTCTCTGGAATATCATCAAGAATTCTTGAGCAATACATTCAAATTCAATGACATATGAAAGTGACGCTAAATGAAAGGTTGAGAATGTTTTCCTATTATACCAGAATCTGAATGGACATGGAATACCAGCACTACAAATAAGGTTTTGTTATAGAAACCTGAATCACAGTGGCATAGTAGAATAAGAAGAAATGAAATAGGAAGACAGGATATTCATCTTATTAACTTTCTTTCCCTCCCGGTGCTTGATGTACACAAAGCAATATGCCAGATCCCATAATCTGCAGAAGCAGCAGGCACTCTAATTCTAAAGCTTTGCCAGCTTAAAAGTAAATGTGAGCAAGAAGCTGCTGACAACTTCACACTAATTTGTGGGTATTTAAATGAAGAAAATACGGCTTCCCTCTTAGAGAATTCTGCCTACTGACTGATAGATACTCAAACCATGAAAAGCCCAGCCTATGCCCAGTCAACACCGTGGCCCTGCCAGCAACTTTTTCTTTAGACTTAATGAGAGGGTAGAAGTTCTTGAACAACCTGAAGGCAAATTTAACTGGCAACAGACACTCATTGGTCAGAGAATGGAACCAGAATCTCATCTGCTTGAAGTGGAAGTGATGGAAGAAAATTCCGGAGATTGAAGGGGATTTTAAGAGGAAGCGCCAAGGTTTAGCCTGTGTTTAAGATGGAAATAACCCTCATTATCATCACAGCTTTGCTGTGAAGAACTACTTCTCTGAGATTAGCCAAATATGCAAGAGGCCATGAGTTTAGTTTGAGCACTAGATAACAAAGCTACCTGTTCTTGCTAACAGAGCCTACCTTTGTTTCGGTTGTATATTTAACAGTTTAGACTATCATTAATAAGCTTAATGTACTAGCTTTTCAGTTCATAGGTTAAAAATCTATAGGTGAAAAATTAGTGCTTTTCATTTATAGGACATCACAACATTTCAAAGAAATAACCAGATTAGGAAACTTTTCTACAGTCACGAATCACTTGACTCCTTCAAATTCCATCTGCCGTGGCTGCCAGTGTGGTCTGATTCAAAGGCAGATCTGACCATATCGTCCTCCTGCTTCACACCCTGGAACGGCTCCCTGACTTCCAGAGTCAAATCCAAGCCATTAATGTCATTCCGGGCCCTTCATTCCCTATCTTACCCTCCACTTCAGCTACGCTCCTGCCATGCCTTGTCTGGGAACTCCAAAGAGCTGGGCTTCCTGCACACACCGGTGTTTCCTGTTTACACTCCGTGCCTTCGCACATGCTGTCTGCTAGAAGGCTCCTCTCCCACATCCTTGACTGGCCAATGTCTCTATCTCATTCTTCAGCTCTTGGCTCAGGCATCATCTTGTCCAGGAAGCCAGCTCTTAGCCCCCAGGTCTTTGTGCCCTACTAGCTTGCTTATCATATTTTATCAAAAATATCTGTATATATATCTATCTCCTTTTCTAGCTACTTTTTAATTCAACAAATATTTATTTGCCAGGCACTCTTCTGGGCCCAGAAGACAGATAGATAAGGTTCCAGACCTTTGATAATAGCAACATGGCCTCCTCCTATTTAATTTGTGTTCTTATATACTGTGAACTGGATCCCCGGCCCATGTTCACCAACACTGCATATCCTCTCTGTGAAGGGCTCTGCAGGTTCTTTCACTTCCATTGCCTCTACGACACTGCTCACTCAGTGAGGACTGGAGAGGCTCTTTCCTCTGACTCCATGATGTCTTCTCTTTAGAGGTGCGTGCCAACCCACTGCATTTGCTAGGAGCATTCCAGCATACAAAGGAGTAACAATGACTCATTGGGTAAATTTTTTTTTTCTGGGAGACCACTGATTCAGAGCTAGGGACTTGGCCTGTTCCTACTGCTCTGGGATGCGTCAGCACTCTCTTGTTTGTATTAATGACATGTCTGAGGAAGGAGACTGGAGTGCCCATCATGGGACAGCTGAGTTTCACTCCACACCAAGCCAGCTCTTAGCAGCCTACACCCCAGTTGTAGCCAATGTTCAGGGAAGAGAAGGTGGGAGGAGCTGTACCTGGTGCTCCTTTTATGCTGCTGACTCTACCTCACACGTGTGTACATGTTTCACATCTAGAAAGGACTCTGGGCACTGGGCTGTGATGGCTTTAAGCTGGTTGGCATGTCCAAGATGCCACTCACTGGTTGCAGTGAGGTATCAGAGTCACTGTGAATGCGGCAGCCCAAAGGAATACTCTGAATATAGACCAGAGTTTGACTTCAAATAATGCCGCACAGCCAGGGAGGGCTACACAATGATGGGTGACAGACAACATGATGACACAGTGTAGCCATCAGAGCAGGGGGAAGGTCAACAGGGGAAGGAAAATCCATAGCCACAAGCATGGAGCCCAGCTGGTCTCTACCTCAATGTCCTTCAGCATATTACATGGGCAACTTCTCTATTAAGGCAGGAGCTGGGAGGAAAGTCCTTCCATCTAAGAGCTCTCACAAGTCTCCCCAAAGCCACGGTGGCCCCCAGCACTCATGAAGAGGAGTAGATGTGACTGCACATGTAAGGAAGGGGGACCTGGCCTTCTCATGAGATATTGCCCTGGGTTTACAGTATCATTAGGGAAAACTATTCGAATACGGATGCCGGTGTTTCTAAGCCTGTAAAACACACAAAGTGGGACATATATGCGGGCTCCTGACAGACTTTGACTGTAGTCAATGTCATTTAATCTAGAGGTATCTCCAAGTTGTCACTTCACATTTTTAAAATTTAGAGAGCAGTTGGTAGAAGGCAAAAGAAAAAGTCCTATTCAAAAGCCCATTCCTGTAAGGATATTTTAATGAAGGAGCCAAGGGTCATAATGACATAAGGCACTAACTCTCCCACAGCAGATGGAGAAACCAAAGCCAGAAGTGTGTCCCAGGGTTTGAAGGGATCTGAATCACTGTGGTAGGAAAAAAAAAGAATTTCATGGCCAAAGAAATTTGGGAACCAATTGGTTAAAAAAAAAAAAAATTAAACACATTTCTCTGCAAAAGGAATTCTGAACTGCTTTCATCTGCTAATGCATATTGTGAATGGGGATAATAATAGAAGCCTCCTTACGTGGTTTCCGTGAGGGTTAAATGATCTGATATTTGTAGAGAACTTAGAACAAGCATACAGTAAGCGCTCAATACAAGTGAGTTGTTTTGGTGGTTGTTGTTATCCAAGAGGGAGATATAGTAGGAATGTCTTGGCAAATTTATTTGACATGGCGATCTCCCCCTTTCCCTGCTGAGTATCTGTGGGCACCAGGGTACCACGGAGCACACACTGGGAAATATTGGACTGGGAAGTTTCCCTGGCATCTTTTGTTTTTTTGTTAGAGTGGTGAACAACTCATAAGACACAAAGTGTCTAATATTATTAATAACAAATAGTAATAAGGACAATTGGTGTTTGTTAAGTGCTTTCTCTACACGAGGCACTGGGCTAAGCATTTGTCATCCATCATGTCAGATGATTCTATTATTGTGAGGCAGCTTCTGTCATCACCTCTATTTGACAGATGAGGACGTGTGGCTTAGGAAGTTAAGAAACTTGATGTGGGAGAGCTGAGATTCAAACTCTTGCCAGATGGCTTCAAAGTCTCTGTGCTGAACTGCCCAGTTGAAAACCCTCCTGGAGTTCCTGACTGTTGTAACCACGTACCCAGCGCTCTCTAGGAAGAGCTCAGCAAATCCCCACTTTCTGTGCAGCCCAGACTCACCATTTTTTTCGACTGGCACGTGGCAACGCGGACAGGGCTTGGTGGTTTTCTTGATTGTTTCTTTGGAGGCTTCATCCCACCGAGCTTGCTCTGCCGCCTTCTCATCAACCCTGTAGGCCTGAGTCAATGAAGACAAAAGGAGCTGAAATTCAGGTCTTTACACTGGGATTAAAGTGGGGGTTCCTTGAAACAATGGTTCTGGAAATTCTTAGAGATGGAAGTGCCTTCAGGCAAGAAGCTCAAACATAAACTCACTTGACAAGTGGCGGACAGGGTTGAACATGCACGGAACACGGTTTTCTTGGCATGTGGCCTATGCTTACAAGCTAAGAAAAGATTGCTCAGTTTTATAGTGTGAGGTCTTCTCTTTGTTGTTTTGAATGATTGTAATAAATAACATCTTTTAGGCACTTCATATGCAGGCAAGGTAATAAATGCTCTTAAACACTTCTTGTTAGATGCTTCATCAGGTCAGTATAACAGTTTTTATTTTATATTGAGGATTAGGTGAGTTAAACAATTGTTTAAAGCTGATAAGTAGGAGAGTTTGTGTGACTCTAAAATTTTGACTGTTAAACGTTCTTCTACATCGTGTTATCTTTCATTCTTACACCTGGAAAATGAGAAACTCCAAATGTTGTCACAGAAGGGGCAGGAGCAGGAACCAAGAAATGAAGTCAATGTGACAGAGAAGAAGTCAGTGGGAGTTGGGAATAGCCAGAGGTTGAGATTGTGGGCTCAGGAGCTAGCTGCCTGGTTCAAATCCTAGGTGGGTGACTTTGGAAACATTCCTTCACCTCAAAGTTCTCATCTCTTAGATGGAAATAAAAAATGCCTAATGCATTATTGGGGGTATCAACGATTAAGTGGGTTAAGTTCATTAAAGACTCAGACTGAGTATGTGACACATGTTGTAAGTGATAATATGAATTACCTCAGGATCTACATCATGGCAAGCTCTCAAAAACGTTTGCTAATATTATTCATGTCAGAGAACTCAATTACCTCCGACTCTCACCATGAAAAGGAGGAGGGATTTCAAAGGAACCGCTGCAGATACTCATTCTGCACCTGTCTAATCATTCAGGCATGGCAATCTCCTCCACTTCCTTCAATATTGAATGACACGTGCAGGAAAAGGATTGGTACGTGTTTGGATTCAGTGCAAGAACTTTGTGGTCTAGAAATATATTTCAAAATGTTAATCCAAACAGAACCCCTCCATCTTGGCTTCTCTAGTATTTAAAAAAATTTTCTCTTACACTTTAAAATTAATACTAACATGGAAGTCATTCTATTATCTTGTATTGACTTTTAAAACATTCTCAGAGCTATTTTTAGGTTAAGAAACTACTGAAAATAACTTGAAATATAAATTAGTGAAGAAATCAAATAATATGCAATGCTCTGATACTCTGATATTACTCTAGTAATAATACTGATAATACTTCACAAATTTATAACATATTATTTTTCACACTTTGATTTCCATTATTTCAGTTGGTCTTCACAATAACCCAGAGAAATCAGTAGGGCAGATATCAAACTTATTTTACAAATGAGACCTCTGAGTAGTAAAAAGGTCAAGTGCCAGGTTCAAGCATGCTCACCTCATATACAGCAGCATCAGTGCCAATCAAATGCAAAATTTGGAAAACCTGAAGGATGGAGGCCCAAACCAGAGATGCTCACACACAGGTTCAGCCCATAGCACTGTGCTTTGAGCATCAAACTCTGCCCATTACCATCGCCTGTTAGCAGGTTTTCTAGGTGGTGAGAGTGGAAGCTAGAGGTACGGGCTTGGCTACACTCAGAAATGATCACCTTAGTAAGCAGTCATCCTCTGATTACCACAGCGCAGTGAGGGACCTAGATAAGATGTGGAATCCAGTGAGTAGAATCCTTTACCCCAAATATGAATCCAACTTTTATCATTTTATCGTCAGATTCTAAATATTCTTGAAATGTTTAAGCTTTTCCATCTTTAAGAATGAAGTATTATGAGGTAAATGACTGTTTATACCTAACCTGCAGCATTTAATGGTATTTATAGTAATTAGCATTTACATTTCTGTTGTTTCCAATAGAAAGTGAATTTGTCCACGGCCAAGATCACTTTTGCTTCCTCCTCGTGTCTCCAGTGTCTGGCATGGTGCCTGGGACCTACTAGGCCCTCGTTACATTTCAGCTGAGTAAATGAATGAAAGGCACAACCAAGGAAGGTACCAACTTGACAATCATCTGGAATAGGACCCTGTGAACCAGGAAGGGCATGTAGAGAGCACCCCTTATGGTGGTCATTGGGGTGAAACCAATTTCTTTCTGTTAATTAGCTATCCCATTCACAAAGGAAACTTCCTTTATAACTCAGAGGTGCCAAGCGATTTGTGAACCCTTTGTTAGAATAAAGCAGAGTCAGTTTAACAGCTAAGAAGCAGCCACAGGTCCCTGAGAACTTCATTTGGCTCTGGGACAATGTAAGGACCACTCATGGCTGACAGCCCAGTGATAAAGCTGTGGTTAAGGAGACCTGTTGCAAGATCCAGTAAGTAGGTTTGTATCTTAGGTACATGTTTTCCAATTGGCTCAGATTCACCTGTGGTCCTAACCCTCAGTGATACACAGCAAATATCATACATACATATCCAACTGTATGTTCCAAGCTTTTCTTTATGGCCCAGGAGCATGAACTCTGTAGCCATGGTTTAGAATTGCTTGCTGGGGGCATATAGATCAGTTAAATATATAATTTTACTTATTAAAAACTAAATTCAAAATGCCGCTTTTCAGCAATATGGCACACTGCATGCTAAGTGCAATTTCTCCCAGGTCTATACCCCTAAAAATGCTGGATGAAATATGGAAGAAAAATGTTTGCTTAATGCATGGCTGATCTAGGGGGAAACTAAGGGAAATCCCTGAAGGCCAGAATAAGAAGGAAAAAATTCTCCTGGTTAAGGGTAGGAAGAATCTCGTGTTTTCTATGGGGCCATTTTCTTAGTCCCAGGCTGCCCAGAGCCTGGATCTTTACAGGTCCTGAGAGTACAGGCAGAGACAAAATTTGGGCCAGAACAGGTTGGAATGGAATTGTATTTTCCCATTACACCCCGACGACCGAGACTCCTGAGGGGTGACATCAGCTGATGAACTAGGAAAAAATCTTCTCAGAAGAGAGAATTGATCACGATATGTGCTGTCTCAGCCTTGGTTCTATGGCAGGGCAGGCTGGGGAGACAAAGTTTCTCTGAGAATTCCTAACCACCAAGCCTCATACACAAGAGTTTATGAAAAGAATTCGTACCACTAGATCAGCTTAAAAAAGAACACAAGTCAAAAAGTTCATCTGAAATACTCCCAGGTTGGTAGTATATCTAGGAACCTGGCTGAAGCAAAAATATTTTCGATTGAGTAATGCACTTTAAAAAGCCAAATCTCAAAGAAATCACACAAATAAAACTGCAAGAAACCTGTGATCACAATTAAAAAGTCAACAAATACAAGAGAAAGCAAGCTACCATGAGCAAAATGACAGAAATACAAAACTGCAGAATCTGACCAACAAAGGCTGGAGATATTGGAATGATCATATATAGATATCAAAATAAATATGTTTGAAATACTTCAAGAAATAAAAGGAAGTATGGAAAGTATAATGAAGAAATAAAAGAATACCATGATTAACCAGGCAGATTTGAAAAAGAAACACACTTCTTTGTTTTGTCCATTTTTCTGGACACAGAAAAATAATGATTAAAATTAGAAACTCAGTTGATGAATTACATAGCAAATTAGACACAAATGAAGACAGAATTTGTGAACGGGAAGATGGAGCTGAGGAAGTTACACAGACTGCAGATCAGAGAGCAAAAAAGAAAAATATGAAAAGGAGATGAAGAGTTGGGGAGATAGAGTGAGAAGGTACAAAACTTCTCTAGAGTTCTAGAAGGAGATAACAGAGAACGTGAAGGAGAAACAGTATTTGAAGAGAGAGTGGCAGAGAAGACACAGATTATTGACAAAGAAGTTAGATTATTCTGACAGCTGATTTCTTAACCCATGGGTGCTAGCAGACAGTGGTGTAATACCTTTAAAGTTCTGAAAGAAAACACCAGCCCATTTAGAATTCCATATAAGCAAAATTAATTTTCAAGAATGAACGCACAGGGGCCGGCCCCGTGGCTTAGCGGTTAGGTGCGCGCGCTCTGCTACTGGCAGCCCGGGTTCGGATCCCGGGCGCGCACCGACTCACCGCTTCTCCGGCCATGCTGAGGCCGTGTGCCACATACAGCAACTAGAAGGATGTGCAACTATGACATACAACTATCTACTGGGGCTTTGGGGGGGAAAAAAAAAAAGGAGGAGGATTGGCAATAGATGTTAGCTCAGGGCCGGTCTTCCTCACCAAAAAAAAAAAAGAAAGAACGCACATAAAATCACTTTCAGACATAAAATACAGAGTATTTCTCATCAACAGACCTTCACTAAAGGAACATCCAAACAGGATAAAGTCCAAAAGGAAGACCTGAACTGTAAGAAGAAACTGTGAGCAAAGAAAATGGTAAGTGTGGGTAAGTCAAAACAAATACTGACTACATAAAATTATCAAAATAGTGCCCAACTTGTTGGTTTAAAAAAATAAAGGTAGAACTAACATGCTGGACAAGAGAAGCATGTAAGTGAGAGAATTAAGTCGTTCTAAGGTGCTTGTATCATATAGGTTGATGGTCATTAGACTTTGTTATATTAATATATATCTAAATTTCTAGGGTAATCAGTAAAAAAAAAGAGAAACAATTTTGCTTCTAAACAAGAAAAAATAGAATAAATGAAAAAAGTAAACAAAAAAAGTCAAAAAGAAGACAAGAAATGAAAGTCTAGAGAAATAAAAGAAATAGAAAGTACAAAATAAAGTGACAGAAATGACTACAAATATCTCAGTAACCACAATAGGGTACACGGATATAACCTAGAGCAGAGATTGGCCAACTATGGCCCATAGGCCAAAACTGGTCTCCCACTTGTATTGTAAATAAAGTTTTATTGAAACAGTCATGTGCATCCATTTACACATGTCTATGGCTACTGGCAGAATTCACCTGCAAGCAGTTGCAGGACTGA